CGCTGCGCCAGTCTGCACATTAATGGCGTCTTCCTTAACCACGGGCTGTGGGAAGGCTCCTGGCTCCAGAGCCCTGCCCGTGCCCCGGGGTGCAGTGTGCTGTGCGAGGCGCTGAGCAGAGCCGCCGCTCCTTGGTCGTCCCTGGTGACGTGTCTGTTCGCTCTCAGTCTAGCAGGGTGGCTGCCGGCCGGGTGATGACCCAGCACTCTCCCCCTGCCCAGCGGCTCCTTCCAGGCAGGGGTCAGGGCGCTCGGTTTCCTGCGGGTCCCTGGTTCGTGTGGGGCCTGGGCTCCCTGAACCTGCTCACTCGCCAGGGAGGGTCAGACGGCAGGGGCCCAGGACTGGGGTCCCTCTCCCTGATCACAGTGCAGCAGGGACACGTGACCAGGATGGCCACACTCCTGATCCCCGCTGTCGACCTGTGGCAGGGCAGGGCCTGGTATGGACACTGTCACTGAGCTTGGCCGAAGGGGATGTGTCAGGTGACGCTCAGCTGAGGACACGTAGCCATTCCGTCCACCACTCTGTGGGGGAGCCTCTCACCTCGCAGGTGTTCCTTTGTCCCTTGCTGCTTGAGGAAACGTAGACGGTGTCTTCTTTCTGTGCCTGGATGGATCTCACCTTGGCCTCGGAGCCCTGTTTGTCTCAGTCCTAGCACAGCCTGGCGCTCGGCCCGGGTCTGTGTGACGCACCCATCGCCTCCCGGGCCAGCGCCTGTGCCATCTTCCCGAGATGGGCACCTGGCTTCCCTCCTGGGACCCGTGGCGCTGTCTCCAACTTGGAAACGCTGGTCCAGGAGGACCTCTCCGCTGGGTGAGCCTCGCACTGAACGGGGATCTAGGTGGGAACTGGATGCTCTTAGTTCACATTCACTTGGTGCCATTTCAGAGAGAGAGAGAGAGGCGTAGATGAACAACGAGGACCCGGGGCTCACGGTAGCTCTTGTCCCAGTTTGTGAATGTCGATCGAGGGGCATCTTGGATGCAGGTCTGCAGAGCCAGCTTCAGGAGAGGAGTGAGCCTGTGTTGGTGTCTCGGACGACACCATCTCAGTGTCCCCCTGCCCTCTGCCCGGGACCTGCTGCTCTGCCTGGAGCTCATACTGGCCGCCCTCCTCTGCTCTGGGGTGATCCCCACGGCCAGGCCACGAGGCCCACGAGGCCCTCTCCCTGTGGAGCCTGCTGGGGTCGGGCAGGGCTGCAGGAGAGCGCAGGGCGGACCCACACCTGCAGCAGCCGCACCGCCCCCAGGTGACACTTGCAGAAATCGTGTTGAGGTTTTCCCAGGACGGCGGGTCCTGGCTTCGGCACCCCCTGCGCCGTCCTGGGTCTTTCTGATGTGCAGGTGGCTGGCACCTCAGCTCCTTCTAAAGAACTGTCCCCAAGAGGGTGGCATGGTTCAGGAGGCAGATGTGCCCCGGGTGACAGTGCCCCGAGGGAGCAAGGGAGGGGGTGAGCCTGGAGAGTGCTGAGGCCCCGGCCATCCCACACTGAGGGTTTGCTGGTGGTCACAGGTGGGAGGACACCCGAGGCCAGGCAGGGGCGTACCCTTGGGGCCTGTGGGGGCTGCCTGTGGTGCAGGCCCTGGACCGTTCCCTTTAATGGGGGTGGACATTTGGGGCATGCCAGCCTTGAGCAGAAGCCACTGCTGCTGGGCGTGGACAGATGGACTCCTCCACACTGACCCCTCCACCACCCTGTCAGGAGACTGTCCGGGAGTCGCGGACAGCACCTCAGAGCCCTGCTCTAGGGTGACAGAACAGGCAGGCGGTGCCCTGATGCCCACGGCCCCCGCGCCCAGCCGGGAAGCCGGACGGCCTTGGACCTCCCGAGCAGCCGTCACGCTGAGGCTGAACCAGGCTCTAGAGAAAGGGGGTGTTTTCTTTTGTTTGGTTGATTTCCACTGAAGACAGGTGCGCCCGATAGCCAGTTCCCTAAACACGCCGTGTCCACTGAGGTGCCGATGCTTTTGTTCTAGATACATATTTCTCGGGGAGAAGCCAGCTTACTGGGGTGTCCTTTCAGAAGAGCCGGGGCACCCGGGCCTTGTTTGAGAAGGCGGTGTGTTGACTTTCCCTGCTCTCCCCTCTCAGTGCTGGGGTGCCACGTGGTTTCTGCACCTCGGTTGACTGAGGGCTCCCACTGATTGGGATCATTTGCTGGGGTGACCTTTGGGAATCGTGGGGCTTATTAAGATTTGTCAGTTATGAAGTGTGCTTTCCCATCACGTGTGGGCGTGAGTCAGATGGGGGCAAGGGGGCCCTCCCCTGGAGGGCTGGTGGCACCCATCACCGGGCCGACCCCCGTCTCCCATTCTGTGGCTCGCTGGTGCGGCCCGGGGCTCTGCTCTGGACACAGCTTCTCACGGCCGCTGTCCGCTGGCCCAGGGACCACACGTGGAGGGACGGGGCGCGGGGTAAAGAAGGCAGGTGGTGGACTCTCGAGCTGAGCGGATTCCTGGAGGTACGTTTGAACCTACTCGGCAGCGCCCCTTACCGACTGTGTGTGCTTGTTAAAAGTGACCTAGAGAAGGGCACGGCTCTGTGACTGCAGTGTCATACCGTGGCTGGGTTTGGTAGCAGTGCAACGCCGGCCAGGTCTTGGGTTGGTTCCCCGTAAGTCTCCCTTGGCATCCGTGGACGCCCAGTGACACCACAGCCCAGGGCTGCTCACACGGTGCCCCGTACATGCCAGTGAGCGGCGTCTGCCCGGAACCCACAGCCCTGCTCCCTGACCCTCAGTCGCCTCCGCGCGGCCTATCCCTAGTGACAGGATGTAGTGCTACTCGATGGTCATCACACTGTGCGCGGGGGTGACGGCGAGAGAGCCGTCTGTGCTGCGCAGGGCTCGGGGCTGCTCTCCTGCTGTTCTCACTCTCTGGCTGCTGGGACCGCAGATGGTCGGAGCCGCGTGCAGAGGCGGCCTGACTGAACAATCCTGCGCCGCAGACCCTGGGCCTGCACCAGGCACTGGGGGGCCACGGGCTCCTCCTGCAGCCCTGTTGTGAATGTGGACAGGATGCTGTGTCCTCCCACCTGGGAGCTTGCCTGCGCTGGGGTTCACGGTGCCAGCCTCTGTGGCTCCGTCTCCTACCTGCCCCTTCCTCGCCTGCTTGCTCCATTCAATACCTGCCCTGGAGCTCCTCTGGGTGGGGTCCGGTGTCCCCTAAGGCAGCTCCTCGGTCCCTGGTTGCCACACGTTGAAAACCCAGTTGGGTTTCCTGGTGGAGATGGCGGGAGGGTGACGCTCCTCCGTGGGCCGGGGAACGCGCGGGGTCCCTGGCACAGCGTGCTTGGACCGTCACCCCTTGGTTCTTCGAAAGCGCTGTACCTTTAATTTTCAGGATGCTGTCATCAGCTTGTCGGGTCATTTGATCTGAGGAATTTAATTACTTGTTTAGATCCGTCCCTATTCTGCCGAGGATTTAGGGTGATTCTATCTACATTGTGGGGAAAGTGGCTGTGTGCGCAGTCCCCGACAGATTGATAATCCTCCAGCTCTGTGTGTTTTAAATCAAAAGCTCTGTGACGTTCCCGGCTCTGAGTAAGCACTGTCTGAACCGTCTTGAGAGGAGACAGAGTTTTCTGGCTTTGGAGTCGCGTTTCCTGGCGCTCCCCCTCCTGCCCCGAGCTCACCCTGGCTGGGCTCGGGCTGTGCCTGGGCCTCCCCGGGCTCTCCTCTCCGTCCCTGTCACTCTCGCTGCCTGCCCATGGTCCCAGGAGCAGGACGGCTGCCACACAGGGCTGCAGGGGGCGGGCAGGGCTGCAGCCCACCCTGAAGCCCAGGCAGGAGCTGAGCCCCCACCAGCCACCTGTGCTGCTCCACGCAGGAGCGGGGGCTGCCATCGCCCCGTCAGGAGGGTACAGCGTTCCCAGAGGGAGGGCCGCCAGCCCTGGGCCAGGAGGGCGGCCTGCGGGGTGGCCTGTGGTGACCCTGAGGCCGACCATGAGCACCCAGCACCGTGCGGAGCAGACCCCAGGGCAGCCGGCACAGGAACAGCGAGCCCTGAGCAGCTGGGGAGACCCCGTCTGCAAATAAGATGCAAACTAGGGCTGGGAGGGGGCTTGGGGTCCAGGGCCCTGAGTTCAACCCCCGGTAACCCCCCCCCAAAAAAAAAAAAATCCCTGGTGGTGGAGGGCGTAGCCCATGCAGGAGAGCTGCTCCCTGCCTTGGGTGCATTGGGGTGTCACAGGGGGTGAGGGTCACACTGCTGGGACCCATGCTCTCACAGGTGTCCCTCCCCTCGTGAGGTAGGTGCAAGGGGAAGTGCAGTAGCCGGCACCACGGGGGCCACCCTCGGGAGACGAGGCCCACCCGGCACCCTGCCCACCAGTGCAGCTGGCGGCCTGGGCGTCTGGGAGGAGAGGATGTTGGGGTTCAGAGCTGCAGAGACTCTCAATTATGAGCATCTCGCACTCAGACAACTTCCAGAGCCGACTCGGGCAGTTCCAGGGCAGCACAGACACAAGAGCCGACGTGCTTCTAGTGTTTCCTAGGCATCTGCATCCGTGTCCCTGGACAAGTGGACATTCGCGAGGCCCCCTCCTTAGAGCTGGGGTTCAGTGCTCAGCCAGCTTGTCCCCATGCCAGGACACACCCTGTGTGTGTTCCCTTCTCACCTCGAAGGCTGTAGGAGCATCCGTGGCCAGGTGCCTCCTGACTAGGAGTCCATCCAGGGGACATTGTGACAAGTCTCTGACGGTGTGGACCTCACGCCTGACCATGCGTGGTGCCATCCCGGCATACTGGGGAATGCCAGGTAGAGCTGTGGGATGGAGTGCAGGTCCCCAAGGCCACACTGGGACCTGGCCCAGGGGGTACAAAGCACTGCAAGGCCGGCTGCGTCCGGCACCCTCGATGGCAGTGACCTTCAGCCATTTCCGCCATCTGCCTGGGTCTCCCCGGAAGCCTCTTGCGCAGAGCGAGGCCTGCGTGGTGTCTGTCTCCCACTTCCTGTCAGTGTGTCTGTGCACTAGAACTCTCCGTCTCTCCGTCTCTGCAGACACGGAGCGGCTGTATTCCGTGGTGTTCCAGGAAATCTGTGGTCGCTACGGGAAGGAGTACAGCTGGGACATCAAGTCGCTGGTCATGGGCAAGACGGCCCTGGAAGCGGCTCAGATCGTCATTGACGTCCTGCAGCTGCCCATGTCCAAAGAGGAGCTGGTGGAGGAGAGCCAGGCCAAGCTCCAGGGGCTGTTCCCTACAGCCCAGCTCATGCCAGGTACGTGTCTCCCGCCTCAGGGCCACGGTGGGAAGCCCGCCCCCGACCTGGGGAGGCGCTCCGAGGTCCACGCGCTCGCCTTACCTTTCTGTGTCCCGTACGGTCTCGGGACCCCAGAGAGTTGGGTGGACACCGTGGGGTGTGGTGACGCTGTGTTCTCTCGGGGGCTGCTAAAACCACACGCGTCAGTTTCACTGATGCCTGGGTCCAAACACACCTGGGTTTTGTTTTTATCAATATCCTGCCTTTTTTTTTTTTTCCTTCCCTGCAGTGCTGGCAGTCCAGCCCAGGGCCTTGCTCATGCGAGGCAGGTGCTCTACCCCGAGTCACCCCCAGCTCTTTGTCAGCCGTCTCTAACGGCTGTGTTCCTCTTGGAATTACTCCAGAGTCGAGCTCCAGCAGTGGCTTTGCCTTGGTCTTTGCAAAATCAGATATAGGATTAATATTTCAGCAACTATTCAAACTTTGAACGGTGCGATAAGCAGCTAAATCTCTCCACAGAGCCTTAATTTTCAAAAAGTTAGAGCCCTGATTCATTTTTATTTATCGTGTTTGTATGCCTGTCAGGTAGCCCTTAAATTCTTAATAGTTTCTGGAGGGGTGCTGGGGATGGACCCAGGGCCTGCCTTGTGCCGGGGAAGTGCTCCCCTGAGCTGCCCTCCTCCCTGCCCCAGCTCGGGCTGCTGCTTGGCCCGAGTCCAGTCCCTTGGGCCTGTTAACTGAGGTCCGTCGGCCCTGGATCGCCTGCTAAAGACAGAAGGGCAGGGGTTCCTGAGTACAGGCCAGGAATTGGGCTCCCTGACCCCTCTAGGTGAAGAGGGAGTGCTCTCTAAGATTCCTGGGGCCAGGGGAGAGATCTGCAGCCACCAGGTCACCGTGGACCTGCAGCTGTGTCAGGGGAATCGTGCAGTCGCGGAGGCGCGCTCTTACTTGTATGATCCCGTTTCTCTGCATCTTGACCTTCCTGTACCATTTGTGCATGAAGTAGCCCTGGCGAGTCTTGAGGGAACCCATCTGGACAGTTAACACTTGTGTTTCACATTGGGGTTCACACGGCACGGCCTCCACGGGCGCCTCACCACTGCTGCGGGTGAGTGGTTGACCTGTACTCTGTTGCCACCTCGCGGGTCCGCAGGGCCTTCACCTTGCAGATCTGACACCACCCCCTCGGCCTCTGCAGCCAGCCCCCTGCCGCTGCTTCTGGGAGCTTGGCCCCTCTGGGCACCTGTGCTCGGTGGAATCCTGCAGGGTCGGTCCTCTGGATGGGCCAGTCTCACTGAGCACCACGTCCTGGGAGCACCATGTTGGAGCACGTGACGCGTGTCCTCCATGAGGCGGAGTAGCGTTCCCTCGTGTGCGGGCCGCGCCTCCTTTCCTCGCCGCCGTCTTGGGGGCTCGGGGTGTGCTCCTGCTTCCCGGCCTCTGAAGAATGCTGCTCTGAGCTTGGGCTGGGCCGTCCCTGAGGGCCAGCGTTCAGTTTTTCAGGGGTGTGCCCAGAAGTGAAGGAACTGCCACGGAGGCCGCACATCCCCTTTCTCTTCTTGCTGGTCCCGGGGGTTGAACCGGGGGTGCTCGACCGCTGAGCTCTAGGGTCTCACCAGACTGCTGAGTCTCAGTTGCTGAGGCCCGCGTCTCACTGGGTCCTCCCGCCTCAGCCCTCCGCGTGCCTAGTTCACAGTGGGTGACACCTGTCCTACAGTGGTGTGGTGACGTCTCACTGTGGCTGTGAACTGGCGTTTCCTGGGGATGTAGAGCATCTGAAGGAGCTCTGCCCATCTCTAGCGGTGGAGAAATGCTCCTTGCGCCCTTTGTCCTTCCGTGATGTGGTCTTTTGTTCTTGCTGTGCCATCTCTCCAGTGCGCTCCTCGTCTCCTCCCACGAGTTGATCGCTCCACGTCTTGGGTCCCATCTTGGCTCCACTTTGATGAATTCTGAACGTGGCCTTGGTTACAGGTCCGACTGTGTTCCCTCCCGTGGGAATGTCCCTTTGTCCCCTGCCATGTGTTCCAGTCTTCTCTTTCCTGTGGCCAGGGCTCTGGCTGTCTTGTCACAGAGTGTCCGTCCCCACGTGGGAGGGCTCATTTCTGGGCTTGTGGACTCCATGGGCCACACTGTTGTGGTGACCACAGGTTTGTGACACCTGTTGAGAGCAGGAAGTGACGGTTTCCCGCTCTGGCCTGTTTGTCCAGATGGCTCCTGGCTGCTCTGGGTCTCTAAAAATTCCAGGCAGGTTTCGGGGTGGGTTTCTCTATTCCTGAAAAGACCCCACTGGGATTTGGGTGGGATTGTTTGAACTCACAGGCTGCTGTCCTGGCTCTGAGCACGTCGGCTGCCGTGGCGTTTGCGTGGTCTGTGGGCGTCCCCCTTAATGTCTTCCTGCCGTTCTGGGGTCTGGGTGCACAGGCCGATCAGCCGCAGTGGGTCGTCCCTGAGTGCTGTGTTCTTTAGGCCATCTGAACGCCCTGGATTCAGTGACTTCCTCTGGAGCTGTTGGTTGTATGTGCAGAGATGTGGCTGATTCTGTTGGCTTTGTGTCCTACAACTCCTCTGAGTGGGTCTGTTTGCTTTAGCAGTTTGGTGTGCACAGGTGTGTCCCCCTGCAAGTTTCTCCGTGTGCACCGCCATCTTACCTGTGAACAGGGCTCTGACCTCTGTTCCAGGGTGGGTTCCTGTGTCCCTCCCTCTCCCTGTTGCTCTAGCTAGACCTGCCGTGCTGGGAGGCCTCCTGTCCTGCCCAGGCCCTGGGGGAAGGCTCCGGCCCCTTGCTGGACTGTGACCGTCTGTTCTGGGAAGCCGCTGGCTCTTCTCCGTGCTCGGCCTCTGCAGTGCTTTGCCTGCCCCAGGGGGGTGACCGTGGGCGCTGTCCTCTGCTCTTCCTGTGTTGAGCGAGCCCCTCTTGTGCTGCCATCTGACTCTCTTGATTTGCTCTTGAACCTGAGCTCTGCCTCGCCTCATCAGGGGTGTGACCTGCGGTTCTTATCCTGCTCCGTGGGGTTCCCCGTGGAGCCCTGGCCCCGGCGGCTGGGACCGGAGGTCGCTGTGAGGATCGCTGCTGAGTCTCCTCACTGTCACGGGCTTGCTCAGTTCTGCTCTCACGACTCAGGCCTTGCAGGCCGAGCGTCTGGGACGTGCCCTTCCTGTAGGGCGTGCCCTTCCTGGGGTCACCCCGGCAGACAGCCCCCTCTCTAGCTCTCCCTTGCTGTGGGGCTGCAGTGCCCCCTCTTTTCGGATTCCTGTGTCCAGGTCTTCTTTTCCCGTAGATGGCTAAGGGCCTGTGGAGACCGTTTCCCGTGGCCCACCTTCTCTTCGGGTTGAGGAAGCAGCTACTGCGCGCAGCGGGAGCGCCGGGTCTTGCCCGTGCAGCCCCCTTCCCTGCCTTCCCTTCCTGTGCTCTGCTGTGGTTCTGCGCGCACCCCTCGTCCTGCTGGCCTGGACGCCTGGCTGGGACGCCGAGGGTCTGTGGGTGGAGGCCGCTGCAGTGCCCTCAGCTGCTGACCTCGTTGGTCCCCTGAGGCCAGGTGTCCGGTGACGAGGGGCCGGTCACGGAGGGCCTGGCAGATGAACGCCACCAGGAGCCTGACGTTCAAAGCCTGGCCCCTGGCACGCGCCTCAGGGTGCTCTTGTTGTTCCCTCCCTGTGACAGGGTCGGGGGTACTGGAGAGCGCCCTTAGTCGGTCAGTGTGTCCCTTAACTGGAGATTGTGTGCTTGACCTCCCAGGGACACGGAGGAGCCCTGCTCGGCCACGGCACAGGTCTCCCCGCAGCCCGAGGCCCTAGGCACGCCCCAGGCAGCCCCCTGGCTCTGGTCACTCTGCTCGGCAGGACCCTGAGCAGAGGCAGAGGACCTGGTGCAGGGTGGCCCTGCGGAGCAGAGACCGAGTCAGGCTGAGAAGACTGGAGGTCAGAGCGGGCGTCACAGGCCACAGTGATGGGGAGTGGCCTGAGGGGAGGCCGAGGAGGGGGAGGTGGCCTAAGGGACAGAGCAGGGGAAGGGAGAGGAGGACCACAAGAGCGCATAGGGACAGGATGGGCGCGCAGGGCAGGGACGAGGGCACAGGGAAGAGAGCGCAGGGATGGCGGAGCACAGCCTCCTGCCCCTCGCCCCTCTCCTGGCGGGGGGTGCGCCTCTTCTGCATCCACCCGTCTCCTCTTTGCCCTCAGCCAATCCCAGTCCCACCCTGGGGGACACTTGTGTCATTGTTCAGTGACACAGAAGGGCCCTGTCCCCTTCCCAGGTCTGGAGAGGTGCTTTGGCGCACCTGCCACTTTGTCCCCTCCTGCGCTGCAAGGGGTGCTTCTCCCTGGAAGCGTCCTGTGGCAGGACAGTGTGGGACCTGGACGTCACCAGGAGCTCATCAGGAAGGAGGGGCCTGCAGAGAAGGGTGACCTCGTGTCACATTGTTCCTCCTCCTGCTCTCTGGGCCACCCTGGGGCCAGGGAGGTCTCGGCAAGTGAGCTGGGGGAGCGGGCGGCCCTGGTGTCCTGTGGGCCTGTCTGCTCGATTGGGGTCAGGGCTCTGTGTGTGTCCTTGCAGTGGAGGTGTCGCCTGGCTGTGACGCAGTGGGTGGCCCTCCCTGTCGCCCTCAGGAGGGTGTCTCCAGGCTGGGCTGGGCCTGAGCCTGCCAGCAGGGCCCTGGGTGGGGTGGAGGGGCCCCCGGGAGGACGGTGCCCGGCACCTCAGGGCTGCATCGCCGAGTGCCCTGGGTGCCCTGGAAGGGTGGTGAGGAGGGGCCCGCTGCCCGAGGGCGGGGCAGACCTCCCGCCTAGGCCGGGACGCGCGGCTGTGGCAGCGAGGGTTGCAGAGCTGCTCAGGTGAGGGGCCTGGAGGAGGAGAGCATGTGGCTCACGTCCTGGGAGCTCTCTGAGTTTCTGAAACAGTCACTGTCACTCCACCCGAGTCGCGTGGCCTTAGAACATCTCCACCTGGGATGTCAAGCAGTGTGTCCACCCTGTGGCTACCTCCTCGTGTTTCCAGCCCCTCTTCCTGGGAGGGGGTCCTC